CTCTCTCGCGTCAACTTGGTGGTTTGTATCGATCAAGTGTGCGAGAATTGAAATAGAGATCGATCGATTTTCTCCTCTGCCAAGCCAGGCTGTTATTTGCTCGCGTATTCTCTTTTCCAGACGTCGCGTTGTTCTGCCAGTATAGCCCGCCCCACAGGAGCAGGTGAATGAATAAATGCACATGGATGTGGCTTGCAACGGTAGTCGGTCTTTACCCCCCATCCGTATTTAAGGACAGAACACCCTAGGCTTTTCTGTTATTGTTGCGTTGCCCGATAGCCGACCATCGGTAGACACAGATTCGGCCCTTCACCTTTTGTGTTCTCTATCTCGAGAGATCGTAAAGCAATTTTTTCAATTAACGAAGCAGCACCATAAGAAAAGCCATGTTTCCCAGACTGCTACCTCTAACATTACGTGTCGTTAGGAGTTCGAAAATATCGGACTCCCGTTAACGGGGCTACATACGGTAAAGTTTCGAGTCGATCAGTCAAGTAAAGAAGGGGTGTACTGATCGAAGACGGCCACTGGCGTCAAAAGAAATAGGGGGAATCCATTGAACATACCCAAAAAGGTTCGTTTCTACAGTCTTGGTTACAACCCGCGTACACGAGCACCTGCAGTCTGTGCCATCATAGACCATCCACATAGCTCATAGAACAGCAACTGAAAAAAGGGAGTGCAGGAGTTTGTTATACCATCGCAGATGCCGATCCCGTCGACGTCACTTCTGTCCTGAAATCGACGCTCTTGAGAACCGAAACCACCAATGACAGGACACCTTCCGTCCGAAAACATTCTACCGCCTTCCTGATCCGCTGAATAAGCCAAAAATTATGAGGGTGCCGGCGAGGAACATACTAGTTATCGTATGGCTGAGGGATGATCAACGGTAGATTCGTGTGCAAAAATATAGTACGCGCCGGAATTCGTGCAACACGCCGACTTATGCGAAAGATTGAGACTCCTTCACTAATCGGCATTGACTCAGGTTGTGATACTGATTGCCATGTATTATATTCTGAAGTTATTTCATTCATGATGGGATGCGAGCTGTTTAATGAGCTTCGGTCTGACCATTGACAAAACGTATGTACTGGTAAGAGTAGCTACTTAAATAGTATGATTTTTTATCATTGATTGTGACTGCCTTTATAAATCCGAATATATTTTATGGAAAACGTGCACGAAAAATTATTGATTGTACTGTTTTGATGGCAAATTGCGCCTCATTCGAGGGTCCTCATCGAATATAGACTAACATGACTTAGACATGTTGCCAGGACAATGGTAAAGGGCAGATCTGACATGAAGGGGTCCTCACTTTAATCGATATTGGCTGCTTTCCGCGAGATATTCATCCTTTTCCTGTTCGCTATACCTATGACATGAGGCAGGCCGTCGCGTCCCGGACACGTCACAGGTTTAAGTGAGGTATATCACCAGTATGATAAATGATTTATTTGCCTGAATAGTTACATCTGTCGAGCGAGGACAGAGCCGTAGCAGAATTCTAACGGCGATGAGAAGGGAGCGACAGCAGGTACCCCAGGCCGCGAAACGGTGACGGCATAGCGACAGCAAGCATCGCCAGACCACTTACGCCGCCACGAGACGATGACACCTTGCGTCCTCAGGCCTCCCAACAAAACGCGAGACAAGGACGACAGGGCGACACGAACTAATTGTCGCACCCCTCCGCCCCCCCTTGCCCTCTCTGGTACCTAATTATGACTAAACTCTGCATCGCTCTGATCCA